TTAGTGTACTAACATTCTGTAGAACTAATAATAATCTGTTAATACTTATTACTCCCCTCGCTCCTTTGCGAGTGTAATCTAGAATGCAACCGGAGGCGCTCTACGCAGCCCAACCTTTGTAATGACTGCTCCCTGTAAAGAGTGCCTTTGTTTGCCATCTGTATAACTGATACTGCTCCCTTTCTCAATCAGGGCCCAGCCCATACGAGACTCTTTATGTATCTTTGTTTTACAGATTTAAACTTAATTTATTGGCAAATTCTGGCCCAAGAAGCTCCAGGCTGCACGGACCAGGCTGGACCTTCAGCTGGACTGTGGCTCTTGTATGAGGCAAAGTGTAGGGCATGCCTTGAGTAAAAACTAACCTGGGGACACCTATTGTTGTTGGGTCATTCACTGGTGTGTATGGATATAGTTCAGCTAACCATGACTGGGCTGTGCTCTGCAGCTCTGCCATGTTCCACGGCTCTGCCGTGTTCTGCGGCTCTGCCGTGTTTCGTGGCTCTGCAGCTCTGCCGTGGCATGTTCTCTTCAATAGGTGCTAAGAATAGGAGGAGCTTAAGTCAGGCAGGGAGCTAGAGTTAGGCTAGGTAGTGCTCTGATTGAAGATAACTGTGAAGCGCCACTTGAAAAATCACTGAGGCAAATATAACGCAAAACCCTGTTGTGGGGCCACACTGGACTGGTCTTCAGAGGCTCCCGCAAATCTGAAACAAAATGAAGAGTATCAGCAGCTGAGCTCAGCTTCATTGTCGACGTCGAGCTTGCTAACTATGCTTCTAGTGTCCTTCGTCATTGATTGTGGAAAGTTAACTTTCAAATAGTCATATATCAATCACCCAGGAGCTTGAACTTTGAATATACAGCAATCCCTTGATTAGCACAGTTTTGAATACCGCGGTTTTGATTAACACGGGAAATAAAAATTGCAACCTATCCTTGATCTACGCGGTGCCAGTTTTGATTAGCGCGACTTTTTTTTCACAACGCATCATTTTCCCGCCTCTAGCCAGAGGTGTTATGTTTATAACAAAAGTGTTACTTTTTGCTTATTAGATCTTATGTTGTTACTTTTGTTATGACTTTTGGAAAATTTTGCTAAATGTTGTTACTTTATGAATTTCAGCCAATAATTCTTTAAATAAGGTCCCGTTCTGTAGGCACTCGTGCTGACTACAGAGTCGGTTTAACCGCACCTTGTCTCGTTCATAACATGAATGGTCGAGTTTGGCAATGTTCGCCGGTAAGTGCGCCATGCCTGTGCTCTAGTTACTCATTAGCCTTCAACTGGTCAAGATCGCTGCCATATCTACTGCTCATTTTTATCAAACTACATAATTTTCCTTGATAAATTACCATCATAATTATGGACAAAAATGGAACGCTTAAACGTAAAAATATCACTTTGGAGACTAAGCTTGAAATAATTAAGCGTTTTGATAATGGTGATACGAAAACGGAAATCAGTGAAGACCTAGGGTTTCCCCGAGTCAACAATACGCACAATTTTGAAAAAATCGTCCGAGTATCAAGAGAAAGGCAAAATTGCTTCTACGTCGTCGAGCGTGCAATGCACTAGAAATAGGACTTGTATAATGATCAAAATGGAGGATTTGCTTTTTATTTGGTTAGAAGACTGCAATCAAAAGTGCATACCTATAGATGGGAACAACAATATGATGAATTTTAGTGGAAAAAAAATTATCATGTAACTTTGCTATTTTTGAGGATTCATTATAATTATTCCCATATATTCTTAAGTTTGATTAGCGCGCTTTTGCTTAACACGGTAAAACTCGGGGATTTATTAACCGCGTTAATCAAGGGATTGCTGTACTTATATAAATGTGTATACCTAAGGAAGCAAAAGGTCCATGACTTCAGGAGCCAGGGCACTGAGGGCAGAGCTAAGGCTCCAGCCTGCTGGGGAGTCCTTAGCCCTTAGAGTTCTTGATGCTGGTCCCCAGTGGGGACCAGCATCAAGAACTCTTTCCCCGGCGGGTGGCATCCCCCCTGGGCCCCCCAAGCCCGAGGGGGCCCAGGCCGTGTGTCAAACCTCTTTTCCAATATTCTTATGATTATGTCATTAATCTCATTTATAATAAGAACAACTCATTATGAATGACAGAATGAGAAGAGGTTGATATCCTGATAACTGTATTTGCAGACTGTCGACTCTGTTACTTACTTTCTTTCCATGATATACTTTTTCTAGAACTAATTGCAATTGGCATAGATTTTAGATTAGTCATTTTTTAGACTCTTCCTCAAGTTAATTTTTGAGTCCTAGTAGTAGTACCAGCCTACCAGGGTGCAGAGGGTGCAAGCTGCCAAGCAGCTTCACCAATATATGAATATTTAGTCCAAAGCATTGCCAGCCAACCAACTCCCAACTTTGGCAATTCTGCAAAAGCAATTTCACTGGTCCTGACTCCTGAGAAGATTAATGTGTTGATGTCCATTCATTTTTCAAGGTTAATGGCCACTGTGCAGAGAGTGGATGAATATTGCAAGATCTTTGGCGACGCTTCAGTAGCAAAATTTATGCCTTCAGAAAATCTTGCTGACAAATTTAGATTGAAATTTTTGCATTTAATATATTTGTCAGTCTTAATCCCAACTATTTAGAAAAAAGTAAGGTTTCCAGTATGTTGGATGGATCAGGATGCAGTGAAGCTTGTTTGGAAATAAGTTGCGATGAGTTCCCGCCAAAAAAATGTAAACAACAAGTTTACAATTGCGTAGTTGCGGTCACATTAGAGCCGTCAGACTGCATTATCACATGTTCCATTGACACTTGCTGTACAATCAAACTGTTTTTAGGGTAAAATTAGTTATTTGGGGTAACACATGCATGCAACCTTGTAAATAAGTTCGTGGCTTGTAAATAGTTTTTCATTACTCAGCGTAAATGGCTTTTCATTAAAAATTACCTGGCAACACATCTTGAAAATAGTTGGCAACGCTTTGGGCTTGAAAACCCATATATTGGCAATGCTGCTTCCACCCTCTGCACCCTGGGTTAATGGCTTGCATGGCTACATTAACTCTGCCCAGAAGGCTGAAGCCAATCATTTGAAGCCTATCATTGTCATTTTTTTCCTAACAGGCCAATCTGGTATATTAAAATTTTTCTATAATAACAGGCAAAAACTATCATTTTACCTAGGATTGAAATCTTACGGCCTGGTTGTATATTTTTGTTAGGAATAAGCTTGGAGGTAATTCATCTAGTGGGAATCTTGCACTTACAATGGTGGAAAGCTCTAGTTGCAACTCATAAGGCAGATATATTTTGTGCTTGATTACATTTAAAATTTTTGAAAATTTATATGAAAATTATGCTGTTTCTCGTATGTTTTATGGAATACCTACATTAAATGAAGGCAATAAAAATGGTGACATTAGCAAGAGTGTGCAAACAAGGGCATTTTTGTCTCATTTATGGTCATAGGATTCACAGCCTGTAGGTGGATTTTTACCAAAGCAGTACAGTCAAACAGGGTAATAAGGGATAGTTTTGATCATTTCTCCTTAATAACTTCTTATCATGAAACATTTCATAAATGGGTTTAGGCTCATTTTAAAGGTTATTTGTAAGGGCCATCATATGGCATCTTTGAAAAAATTCCATATGCTATTTGTAAGGAGCCAGACGCAAGGTAAAAGCCTCCTGAACTAACACTGGGAACGGGGTAATAAGGGACACTTCAAGTAAAACTTGATTTTAAAACATTTGAAGGATGCAGTGTGTGCTCATCCATTGCTAACAGTACTCTGAAGTCCTGCTCTTCCTTTGTAGATGATGTAGAGGTAGAATAAATGACATTTTCTGTGATTTTTACTTGTTTTTCCTTTTTTGATATGATATTACCTCATCCATACATTACTGTGTTATTGATGTGATATTACCATATTCATGAACATGCCTTCGAGCATAGACCTTGTCCATTGCAAGCTTCATATCAGCAGCCATTTAGCATTTCTTCTGTGGGTAAGCTTACTGGATGGCTTGTAATTTTGCACCATTTCAATTGGGCCAAGTGAATTCACTATAACAAAAAAATAAGATTGTAAAGAACACACGAACCTGAAACGCAATGGAATATTTTTGTGACACCCATCATGTTTTTTGAGAAAAAATCCAGTTTAGATTAATTACTTTTCATTCTATGTTGCCCGGTGCACGATTCTATCTATGACTTTCAATGCACACTTTGGTGATGACCGATAATGCACTAATTTTCTGTCAAGTTAAATTTTTTTGCTGAGAGTGGTAAATCTAATCAAAATTCTTTGTTGGTAATTGATTTTTTTATCTACTGGAGACTGCTAACCAAGGCTTTACTGTAAATGCGTTTTTAGGGGTGTCCCTTATTACCCTGGGGTGTGTCCCTTATTACCCCATTGTGCAGAAAATGGCCAAAACATTTTTCTGGAATGAGATACGCTAATTCTGTTAATCACATTTTTAAGCCAACCCCTGTGTGCAACTTATATGTAAGTAAAATTTTTTAATACAGTGAATATATTTTTTTTGCTACAGACCTTAGCAGAGGTACCTAGTACTTTTCCAAAATCTCACTTTTCACTCTTTTTCGCAAGGATTTCATAGAGGTAGTAAATGTATGATTTCTTAACTTGCTTTATGCTACATAGATAGTAAAAATGTTGAACTTTATGCCACTATTTTTTGTTTTGCAATATTTTAATTAGTTTAGCTGCTACAACATTTCTGCAAAATGTTGGAGGACAGTTACCCCACCCTTAAAAATGCTAGCAAATTTGATTGACAGTTTTAGCAATAACCTTTACATAACCGGTGATCAAATGTTTAATATACCTTTAAATTTTTCATTTTTCACACCTCCCTTATTGTGATGAATTTATGATCTCTCAAAATCTGTCTTTATACTGTTCTTTAATCTTTGTTGGGACACTAAAAATCTGTCTCAAAGCTCTGCTACAAATTTGTCTAATTTTTTACCAAAATTCATTGCAGATTCATTTTTAAAACAGGCCAACCTAATACCCTCAATCAATTGATTGGTTAAATAAATATGACGTGGACTGAACATATACTAAGTACTGTGCAGAATCAAGTTGTCTACTCAAGCAACATAATAAGACAATGTTAGGTTGTTGATTTCTATTAATTCATCATGGCTGACTTTGATGCCATTGATCCTGCAATGGATGATGAGGATGCTTCATCCTTTGAGTCCTATATTCCAGTGGCTGAGCCAGTCATTATCCGTGGTACTGGTAACATTACAGTGTGAGTATTTAGTACATTACAGTGCAGTAGTTATATTACAGTAGTTGGTCTTCAGTGATCAGCAAGGTATATTGATTATTAGGATGACCAATCTTTGAGTAGTGCTGTAGTGAGTAATGCTGTAGTGAGTAATGCTGTTCAGGAGTGTGGTGCTGTTCAGGAGTGTGGTGCTGTTNTCAGGAGTGTGGTGCTATCCAGGAAGAGGGTAGTGCTGTTCAGGAGGAGGCTAGTGCTGTTCAGGAGGAGTGTGGTGCTGTTCAGGAGGAGGGTGGTGCTGTTCAGGAGGAGGGTGGTGCTGTTCAGGAGGAGGGTGGTGCTGTTCAGTAAGTGTGGTCCAGGAAGAGGACCGTCCCTGATCAAAAGAAACACCAGCATAAATAAACCAGCTGTACATTTATCCCGATTAAAAGTTTGTTGCGATAAAATTCTTAAAAATTACATTTGTGCCACACAGATTCGGGCTGAGCAGCCAATTCTGCCGGGACTTTCCCAGCGAGCTGACGGGACGGCTGGCGCCGGAGGAGTTCAGAGCGTCTGTTGGGCGACTCAACGGCGTCCTGAGGAAGACTCTGCCGGCCTCGGCGCGCTGGCTGCTCTGCGGGTGCTGCTTCTGCCTCTGCACTTGTGGCTGCTCCCTCTGGCCTGTCATATGCCTCAGCAAGAGGGTGAGTCTATACCCTCTGGCCTGCCATATGCCTCAGCAAGAGGGTGAGTCTATACCCTCTGGCTGTCTATACTCTCTGGCCTGTCATATGTCTCAGCAAGAGGGTGAGTCTATACCCTCTGGCCTGTCATATGCCTCAGCAAGAGGGTGAGTCTATACCAGGATACTCATGTGCTTGTAACGCTGGGCATCGTTGAACTAAAAACCTCTCTCTTCAACCCCTTAGAAAGCTCTTAAAAGCTAATAGTTCTCGAATTAACCTGAGTTTAGTAAACCCCTCACTAACTCAAGTATCCTCCACTCATGTGCATCTAAGTATTTCTCACTCAGGCACAATAAGCTTATTACGTGCCCCCAAGGATCCCTAACGACCCTCTAAGAACTATTAACTAATGTTCCTCCTGGTCACAGCAGAATGATTAAAATCTCCTCTACCTCAGACACGCCACACGCTGCAGAAGGCGCTGGAAGCGGAGAACCTGCGCCTGTACCACGCGCTAGGCCTCCACTGGCGCCTTGCACGCCGCCGCTGTGACAACGCGGCCCTCATGGAATACGTGAGTCTAATGATATAATTCAGACACGAGGGCTTAAATAGTCTTCTGAAGTGAGTCTTGACTCTTGACCCAGGATTTGTTCGGGACATTTCATACATAGGGCTTTGTTCTCTGTCGTACGGATAGCAGGCGACTTGTGCTAGCGACCTCTTGAATGTCATCCATTATGTTGCTGTCTTCTTGCCCTTCTTCGTTGCTGATGCCTATTATTACTTTCCATCTGCAACTCGACGATATCTTAATATGTTTTGGTACAATTGAGTGCTTCGAAATTTGTGATGATCCAGACCTTGTAGGTACTTTATTTATGATCATACTCGTGTTTTAACATTCTTATCGATATCGCGTAATATCTGACTCACAGATACACCTTCGGCAATTTTACTATTTTTGCGCAGGTTTTGGTCATCGAGATGATCCCCAAAAAAGACATCTTTCGGCCTGACTGACTCCTCAGCGCTGCAACTGTACAGCTTCAGCGTTCGGTCTCCTGCCTGATACTCATTTTATGTCATTTCACGTTAAACATCATGTCATTCGTTGTACATTTATATGTGGTAAGAGACTCTGTACTATTAACTGGATACGTTAAGATAACACTGTGTTTGTCGTCGACTGATGTGTTGTGATTAGCAACCTGCGTCTACACAACAATTAATTACACTTAAATACAATATGACTGAGCCACGAAACGCGTGGGCTTGTGTTGTGATGGGTAGACCCACCCTAAGTAGAAATAGCATTGTAGTGATCGTAAGCGAGTAAATAACCTGAATACCTTATCACGTTTTTTATACCCTGCGAGTAAGCTCCGTCCATGCTACCACCTGACTGTGACGGTGATGTCTTCTTACCCAGCCGTCGTCCACCCGAAAACTTGCACTGACGCCGGTCATTTCCCTTTAGTTGTGCCTCGGACCGCCCTTGTTGAAGTCTAATCCGCGGGGCGATCGTGCCCGAGGACCTCCACGGCCTCTGAATATCAATACCGGCGGGATGCCTCCAGAAGATTTTTTATCGAGGACGCGACGGCTAGAGAAGAACGTTTAAAGGAAGAAAGGCATTCTCTACTACTATTGGAATGAAAACACATCCTTGCTCCGTCAAAATTTCATCTGCTGTCAAGGCCACTTTCGTTACTTGGATTTGCCTCTTCTCTCTCTGGTGATTTCCTCCACGCGCTGATGCGATCCGCACTGCGAGTGGAAGTGAAGTAGAAGGAGAAACAAGTTAATTTCTAAGTGTTAATATGATAGAGCATCTGAAGTGATTTGGCTGCAAGTTGCTACTAGTCCAGAAACTTCATCGATCACTGCCATGTCCAGGTGCGACAGCTGACCTTAAGTGAGGTCGTCTCTGCTCCTATAACCAGTCACCACCCTCCAGAATCTGTTTACTCCGTGATACTAGCTCGTCCAATCCAGAGGCATGGTTCGTTCAGTTGGCTGACAGGGAGAGAAAAACTTCGTGTAGGCAGAGTATAATGTATTAGATGTGTGCTTGTATAACTTGATCGGTCTGATGATACAATATTATAAAAGAGAAGGAGGATTTGATTGCAGCATTGAAACGAATTTTATTGGAACTCAAATCATTGATTTAGTCACTTCAAAGAGGTTGTTGTGAGTGAAGTATGAATTGGATTTGACCAAGATCAAGAAAGGTGCTGTCCTGTTAAACAGCAAAATAATAATGGGTTATGACACTTCCTCGTCGAAAAATCTGTTAAAACGCAAATGAACTCCTCATTTAAGGCAAATTTTGTTAACTTTTAGGAGACATTCTGGGACATCGGCCTCAGACGTTTGATATGTTGTTTGATGAACCACCATCCCAAATAAGTGGTCACATCGACATGATATAAGTGGCTTCGATAAGCGCTAGACGATTAAACGTGATTTTTTATAATTATCGTTGTTATGCGCATTTGTATCATTTTCAACTCAAGCTCTACCAGAATTCATTCGCTTCCTGTAAGAAACGATGAAGGGAGAGGCAATTCAATCGATTGTGTACATCAAATTAGGCAAGCTGACGCTTTATACGGAAAATTGAAGGAGGCTTTATGGAAGACCGGTAATCTTCAAATATAGGTCAAAATTTGTTTCTTTCCATTTTTCTCTTGTATCAGGGAATTTGAAGGTCAAATTCAAATATAGGGTAATATTTGCGTTTATCGTGCATTGCCATTGTTTACGTTTGACTTGCACTTAATTCTTCAGTATAATTTTGCTCGTTTCCCTTGTTCAAGTTTATCTCAATTGATTTAAGTTTTAATGCACTGTTACAAGGATTCATTTAAGTTTATATTATTCATTAGTAATTCAAGTTCAGCTGAACTCTATCAATTATTTTTATTGAACTTTGAAAAATATAAAGATTTGTTATTTTGTGTATTGACAGTTCACCATTGCATTGGACTTGGAGTCTTGGACTGATGATTCATGGTCATTCACCTTCACAAGTTCACAGCTTCACTCAGACTCAGATCACAGTTGCACAATTGCACTAAGGCCTAACTCTAACTCTGTCTCTAGATTGTGAAGACTGCAATATTGATTAATGACTAGTACCTAAGAAAAAAAAAATGCTGTCATGAACTCATGATACCTAATTCCTGACTGCCACTGGAAATTTAAGGTACCATAAAATGGGGTAACTTAGACCACTTTTTTTTATAAATGATGCCATTTTTTTTTACTAGCTAAATTAAACTTGAATTGAAACATGCAAAATACAGGTCTATACTCTAGCTTCACTCACCATAAATTGCTGGCTCCTGCCTCTCACAAATCTATTTATTATGAAATTGAACTTAACAAGACCAAAACAAGGTGTCTGACACCGTCTTGTCTAATGTCAACAGTCAACACAATGTTGCCATACGCCGTGAAAGATTAACAGTTTATCCCATCATTCCGTGTGGATTCGAGAACTTTGTTGGTATTGGTGAAATCGTGAAAATTTTCTGCAAAAGTTTACGTAATTTTTATTTTTATTTTGGAACATATTCTTCTACAAAATTTGTTGATAGGGATACATGACTAGTGTATGTATTGGAGGGAAGAGTCGCCAACTTTTAATCGGTTTTCAAACCACACGCAAGCGAGTTAAAGGAAGTGCAGCTGTCCGGGTGTCTGCAGTTTCTGACGAGCTCAGTGTAAGAGTATCAATTGTCACTTCGGTGGAAGGTGTAAGGTGGTAAATTTTTCGATACATTTTCTTTTGTTAACATGATAATACATTACCTATACAGAATTCCATACTGCTGTAGAGTCTGAAACATAAAGAAAAAACATAAATAGGCTGTCAAACATAAAATATGTTATATATGGTAATTTTATATTAACTTCCAAGCCGGTCTATGTTACCCCGTCAGGGCTGACATTAGGTGGTCTAAGTTCCCCCATTTGGGGGCAGCGCCCCCTGTCCCCCATTTGCAAACTATGACACTTTCCTAAAATTTGTCGTTTGCATATGTAACTAGAATAGTTCTACTACAATGCATCAAAACCTGGAGTTAACAACAATCGCATCTAACGCAGCAAACCGTATGTATGTGCATATGGTATGCATGCACATTCGTATGTACAAATTTTTCAATTCAATCAAAATACGGCAAGCCCTTCTCCGCTAATATGTGTCTATCTATAACTCTGCTGGCGATTATTTTATAAATATGTCCTATACACTCAAAGAATTCTTTGTAACTTCTTAACATAATACTTCTTAACAAAAAATATTTACAAACGACTGCTATTATTCATACCTCGAAATTGAGATAATAATCAATTCTCTTGATTATAATTACTTGATTATACCATAAAGCAGTATTTTGTCATTCTAATTGCCAAGTAATGAATATTTAAAAATTTTGTTTAATATTCTTACAAATTCTTATGAGATAATATACTTTTAACAACAAAGCCATGACATAATGCAGATGTATCTGTATAATGTATATATTTTTTATATCAAACCATCGGCATAGAAAGGAATGCTGAAGGGACTGCAGTGGCTGGGAACTTAGAACGCTGGAGCTGGCCGACAACAACAAAGTCCTTGGGCACCCACCACCTGACATAAGCAGCACAGAAACACAGCTCTCTAGACTGGAGAGAGTACACCTAGCCAGGCTGCGCTGCGGCCACCACCCTTCACTACAAACATATGCTGTTGGGGGTCGCCCCGTCTAAAGGTCAGCGGCCGGCCGGTATAGTACCAGCTAACGGGAAAACAATAAACTGGAACTCAGGAAAACAAACCAAGCAGAACCAAGCAAAAAATATATTAAATAAAATAGTGGTACATGAAGATGAATGGTGAAGGTTAATATGTTAGTGATGGGACAGCCCAGGGCTTATGGGTGATGGGATGAGCCTACCACGTGAAACCAAAATAAAACCAGTAGCCCAAACTGGCAGAAACTGAATAAATGGTGAACATTAACTTAACTAAACTGGGCCAGAATAATAAAGAGAAAACTGAACCGAAAATAAAACAGGAAATAACTGCCTTGAAATTGGTCTGGTGTCCAGCCTGGTTGGATCCGTCACGAGGAAGCAGTACTGAGGAGCAGAGGAAGCAAGAAGGCGGTGGTCTTACCGGTGATGGACAGCAAGGACTCAACTAGAGGGTGCTTGGCTCAAGGTGCACGTGGCTCCAGGCTGGCTCAACACCTTCACGGCACGTGGTCCAGCCCAACCCAAGACTCTTGGTGAGCTTGCGCAGCAGTGGCCCAAATACTAGCCCTGGATTTGCCCAGCTCAGCTCTCTGGTTCAGTCCTGGATTGGCTCCAGAATTTGCTGCTCTGCAAAAATGCCAGGACAGAAGAACATAAAACCCTATCCAACAATCTAACACTTGAACGCAGAAACATTATCCTACCTCATGTACAGTTCTAAAACCTCAATGCAAAAAGGATGATATTTACAAAAGAGTTTACTAGTAACAATAAGAACTAAGATGCATGGCGAGAGTATTCCCTGGACTCACCTATAAAAGAGCAGCAATAGTCCTAGCAGGTAGGTGGCAGGTCATCAAGGATGTCAGCGTGGCCAGAATCCCAGATTGCAGGTACATTTACACTTCCACCATTAAGCAAAATCAGGGAAAACTAAACTGGCTAGTTGGCCATCTCTAGTATTTAAACCACTGTATTTACACTAGTATTTAAACAAACTAGTATTCAAACACTGGGGATAACAAAAAGAAAAGAGAATTAATGCACGCAATTTACAACTTCTTACTTATTCATATGCCACCATGTGGCCCCTAACAATGCAAACAGAATAGGCCAAGCAGACACAGACACCTGCCCATCCTGCCTGAGAGCTCCCCACACAATCACTCAAATTCTTCTGGAATGTCCGCTCTGGCAGGATCTCAGACAACACCACCTCATAACCTCGGCCATGCAGCTCTGAAGCGACCCCCTGTCGGTGGTGTCGTACATGCGCGAGGGGGTCTCTTATAAAAATGAGACCAGGAAGCCACAACAACAACAACGGCTGGGAAGAAAATACAGCAATCCCTTGATTAACGTGGTTAATAAATCCTTGAGTTTTACCGTGTTAAGCAAAACCGCGCTAATCAAACTTAAGAAAATATGGGAATAATTATAATGAATCCTCAAAAATAGCAAACTTACATAATAATTTTTTTTCCACTAAAATTCATCATATTTTTTTTCTAAATAACATGGGAAATAAATAAAAGAAATGTGAATGAATTGACATTTATTTTTTACTGAAAAACGAAAAACGAATACTGAAAAACGAA